AAAGCTTTAACATATTTCGAATTAATTTCAAGTGCTGATGTACAATTTTCAATAACATTCAAATTATTTCCATAAATTAATTGACATGCTGATATATTTGAATAAATTGATAAAATAAGTTGATTAAATTTATCTAAATATTCATTTGTTGGTTGTTCATTAACAAAATTTAATATATAACATAATGAACGATGATAAAGTTTAAAAGCTTGAAAATAATGTTTATTTTGAAAGAATTTATTCGCATTTTCTTTATGTTTTAATGCGAAATCATAAAGATCATTAATTGACATGGAATAGATTTCCGGAAAACGTTCAAATGAAATTAAACGTATAGAAATTTGAATTTGTTGATTATCATTACTAAAAATTACACAAAAAATATTGATTTAAAAGTAAAAATCGAATTTCGTTACGAATTAAAATTTAATTGAGAATATTCATTTTGTTTCATTGTTATTAAACATTTGTGTACATAATTACTAATTATTGAAGAATAAAATCCTAAATGAATATTTATTTCTTCGTTCAACGGAAGAAGATCAGCATAGAAATTTTCATTTAATGAATAATCACATGGAGAAAAATAAATAATTATTTTACAATTTGATCCTAAAATATATTTCAAAAGGAAGTTTTTGTTTTTGAAAAAAATTATTCATTTTGTTTTATACCTTCATTAGGAGTATGAAGACCTTGGCCTCGTTCTATAATCGTTTTAGTAAATGTTATATCGTCTGGAAGATTATAAACAGTCATTTATTTAAATTAATCTATATACAAATTACAATAAAGAAATAATATTATCAATATGTTCAGAAATTCTTCAGAACAACAAATATATATGAATACAATAAGATTAGATGATAGTATAGTAGGAGATTTATTTATTTGCCCTTGACAACTGCGTATAAGATGCTTGCTGTTAGAATAACAAGATGTCACTGATCATCAATATGATTACGCGCTCTATTACTTTTTTTTGTGTCTGCATAAGATAACATTCTCTAAATTTAACTAATTAAAATACATAAGTATCATCTTAGATTTGATACAGGTTGAAATACAATATTTGACATGTCAATTTATCAAGTGTTTTATCTAATTATTATTTCTGTATGATATATTGAGTTTAAATTCAAGTAAAATAAATCTCCAGAGAATGACGTCATATGGAATAATTAGCATTAGTACTCAAACATTTATTTTTCCCTTGATACTAATTCTAATCTAGAAAATTCATATGTTTTTTTATTCATTTGAGAAGGTCGTGTAGTATTTCTGACATCATTTCCTATGTTTCAATCGAAAACTGATGATTATAGTGAAATATCATCGTAAAATTTTGAAGCACTAATGAAGTTTATACTTTCTTTATTATTCAGCTTAAAGCGAATGACGTCGATCGAAATCATTTACGCATTACAAAATAAAGAAAGCTGATATATATATATATATAAGTTTATGACGTTGGAAAATATTGTCACGTATAATTACAATTAAGGAATTATTTATGTAGAAAATTATGTGTTAAATATAACATATGGAAACAGAATAAATGAAGATTGTTGTGTTTATTTTGATATTGTAATTTTAAAGTGCAGGAAATAAAGTTCAGAGAACTTATTCTTTCATTGAAATTAGAAATTTTGTACGCGAAGGACAAATAATAAGAATAGAATCCTTATAATAAACTTTATTGATTAAACCAGCAAACTAAATTTGAGAGATTATTATGAATATAATAGA